ATAATATTTGCATCATTCAGTATTTTTGAATGAGTACCTATGAAATAAATGTAGACTCGAGAATATTATGAGGCAAAAAAAAAATCACATTTTGAAGATAAAACCTTATTATTAGACAATTTCTCAGCTACCAAAGCTACATATTTGCGAACTCTTGTGTGTTCCTTTAAGGCTGTCTGTTCAACTACTTATTCCATTCAATTTACTTGAGAGAAAAGGTTTCTATCATACTTTTTGCTTTCACAAAGTGACATGATGTTGCAAAACGTGTCATAAAAATGCAGATTTAGTTGTAGCTTGCAAGTGAAGAGATACGTGGCAAATTTCCACCCACGGACAACAGATTCAGAGCAAACCCTAGATCTTAATTAGATGGAAGAGTTCTTTTGAATAAAATATCAGATAACCTAGAAAATGGAAAGCATACTTCAAAGGTTTAGAACAGTTAGCTGTTAACTCCATATTTCCCTGAAGTAGGGAAGAACCTTTTAGCTAAACTCACATTTACTTAACTACTACTTTAGTTAACTACACAGTTCAAGCACTGTAAGTGCAGTACTTGAACATGTGCATGAGTGAAATTAATCACACAAAAACAGATCAGCAGATTGGGAACATACAAAAATATAAGTGTTAGTGCATAGCAAAATACACAAACTCACCTGAAAAAACCTAAGGATGTTTTCACAACAATAGAACAATAATGTTCTCAAACATTATATATAAAATACGCATTCAGAAGTTCTTACTTTACAACTTGCTAACTCCTATAGCTGTTTTCCATCAGCTCAGACAAAAAGCTCAAGAATGACTTCATGCATCTGAAGACTCGTGTACAACCAGAAGGCCTATAGCCAGAGCAAAATGTAAAACATGCCTGTTTATTCAGGACAGATTTTATTCACATATGAAGACTCATTCCTTGTGAACAACACACGTAGCCAGACATGTGCAGTAACAGATGGGCAAGTTTTATCAATATAACTCTCAATTACTCCAAGATCCTAAGATGCTCAATTCAAAATACTTCTGGAGAAAATGTCAGTGGTTGAGCTTGTTCTACTTCTTTCATTTGCATATATTCACAAATAGCAGAAATTCCTTGCCATAAAACTTCCTGAATTTGTTCTCTTGAAAGTTTTAGATACCAATTTCTCATCTTCTAAATATCACCTTTTCTGATAAACAAATCAGAATCTCTATCCTACAGGAACATATAAGCACACACCTAGCAATAAGCAACCAGGCAGTCTCACTTCAGATTTCTCAAATTCTTTAAGTACTTATTTATGAATTGGAAGAGTAAGCAGTCTCCTTGTATTTTCTCAGCCAGTCTCTTTTACAGTGTTATTTGGCAGAGCTTAAAATCATATTTCAAACATATACTGAGGCAAGGCTGACAGTCTTTTTTTCTTCAAGTAATTTTGCAAAATTTGTGACATGTGTTGTCCTGCATCCAAAGAGACTGACTTGTCTCAGTTTGTTATTGTTTAGTGCTAACAAAACAAACAAACAAATAAAAAAAGGTAATTCTTACAGAGCCACATATTGCCCAGGAAAGCTACAGGAAAACATAAAACACTGAAGTGTCTCTTAGGACAGCTAAAGGAAAAATACAAAAGTCCATCGGCTATCCTGTTGTCCAACTGCATATGGAACAATCAATGTTGGAAAAATTAAATAACCGAATCAGTTCCCCATGAGTAAAAAATCAAGTATTTCCAGGACATTTATTCAGGAGAGATCTAAGCCCTCTGCAGAACTGCATGAACATGATCTATTTCAACACAAGCCAGCACTAAACATTAGCTGAATATAGAGACAGATGTTCTAATAAATACATATTACAAGTTTCTGGGCACACTATGGCAAACAAATGAGCAGAACTATAGCTAGTCCTGGAATTTTGCATATACAAAATATTCTTAGTTGCTAGAAATGCTACGCAATTATTTATTGGGCATGTGGAAATGAGCTATGATTAGCATCAGCTGCATAAATAATGGTTGCAAATTGTACTTTTAAGTGGTAGATTTGGAAGAAGATGCATCATTTCATACATGTGGAACAACATTTAAAAATGCAGCTACATGGACAAATTAAAAAATGAACCTGGCAAAGAATGTTTCATAAGTGCCTGGGGGCTAATTCTGCAGCTACTGGTAACTAGTATTTTCAGTTTAAAAAGCTGTGTATGGCTAACATTAAGGTCGACTTCAAGATGTTTTCTGCAAACGTGTTTCATCAGCTTGCTTGATAATATACTAGTGTTTGCAAAATCATCTCCATAAATGCTGTCATCAGCACCTGTGAAGGTGACAGGAAAATTAAAGCTTTGCTACCTTACCTTAAAAAGCAGGGAATTGATATTTCTCACTATTGATGCATTGTCACATTGAGTTATACGAAATACAGTAGGAAAAAAAAAAGTTATAGAGTAACTTGTATTCAGTTGGCTACCCTTTTCCTCTGAAAACTTTAAAGATTATTCAGAGGACAGAAGCAGGGAGTTTTGAAAGGTTATGTGAATTTCTTTTCTAAAAGAAATATTTTTCTATTCATGCTATCTTGAAAAGTACCACAGAAGTAATCTTGGTTCTTTAATACCTGTTGCCTGCCTGTGCTTTGCCTTATTTCACCCAGTGCTGTTGTAAATGTTCCAACAAACTGCTAGCAATCTGGGCCCTTGTCTTTCATCCCCTGAAGGTTGTCTGGGAAGCTCTGTGTTCATAAGGAACAACAATTACTGCACTGCTTTTGCAAAGAACGCAGCAGTCCTCTTCCTGGACAAACTGCTCCAGGCCACAGCATCCCGGCTTTCTGCTCTGCCTCGGCTCCATACAGTATTCCTGGAATCTAGTCAGTGTTTTGGTTACCATCTATATAAACCTGAAGTCCATTACCTTTGCTCATTTGTTATTAGAAAAGACAGATCCCTTTGAACTTTGGCTTGTAAGCCAAAACAAATTTCTAAGCAACAACAACCACTCCCAAAAACATACCTTCAGAAGTTGAAAGTTTTAATTTGTGGTAGGCACATTTTTAATAATTACTTTTTTTCACAACAAGACTAGTAGTATCTTCCTCATGCACCAAATTATTTAAAATGCACTTAGCATTCAAAAACATATCAGTTTCATATAAACTGAATCTACTGCTACATACCTGCCTGTAAAAGATATTAGTCGTTGGCTGAAAAAAGGAGAGAGAAAAAACAAAAAAAAAGCTCTAACTCTTCCCAGGACTATTTACTTAATACCCACCTTCCTCTAAGTGACAGGCTCAACAGAGCTGCTCATGATGTGTCCCAGCAGGCTACAACCATTTCCAGAGTAAAAAGGTAGTATTTAGAAATGTATTTGTTAAACATGTCTTCAAATGTCATTCCTGTTTCCCCTAAATCAGAAGGAAGGTTGCTACCAGCTGAACCTGCTCTGCTCCCAAAGTTCATGTGGAATCCAAGCCAGACAGTGAAGTGCTCCTTAAAGCTTTGTGTTTTTTAAAGCCTGCTTAAAAAAAGAAGCTGGCTAAGAGGATCATTCGGCTTAGTTTCTCCAAAGCCGCTGCAGCCTGGGACATCAAAGCGACCCAGTCAGCAGCTGGACGCTTCAATGCCAAGCACAGTATGTGAAGCAAACTATGGTCACCACAAACACCGGACGAGAAAGACAGATGTATACCCAGCAACGCTGCTCTCAAAGTTATGAGAATGCAATGTAGACGTGGATGTTAGTGCTAGCTGGGGCTAATTCATTCTTCAATAGATTTTTATTACCAAGAAAGTAGGATTAAACTATATTTTGAACAATATACATTGCTTAAAAAAGCTCACAGAAGTATATTGATTTACAATATACAGAAATCGCTAAAAAGGCTTAAACAAAAGCTGTCCAAGTGACTAATACTGCCTACTATTTCCAAAGTCAATAACTAGTATTACTGTATATTTATAGCCATGATTCTACCTTTCCCAGAGCAAAGGGCACAGCTTCCTGTCACAGAAAACTCCTATCTACAGACGAATTTCTATCTATATAAATGCTTCCTGCTTTTCCCCAGAAATGTACTTTTATATAGGTGGCTGTACTGCGTCCTACTTTTAATTCATGATCTTGTCAACTATGGAAAAAATGCTAAACAAGAGTTGTTTTAATTTGAAAAGTAACAAGCATCCTGTATTTTGATTGAAACAATCAAAACCAAATCCCTCATATATAATCCTTTCAAAAATATCCCTTGTAATCAGAGCATCATTAAAAATATTTCATTCTTTGGGGAATTTTAGAAAAAAACATTAATTGCCTCATTTTTACCTCCTCTTTATCTTTTTCTCAAGTGTGTCAATTTTCCACTTAACTGAAGAATTTTTTTGTTTGCTTTCAAAAGAAAGATCATGATTCCAAGCATTAGTAAACCAGATTATGAGCATGTAAATATATATATGCTTGTAGTTTTGTCATTTCCTCATCTGAAATAAATGAAGTGCATTTTGGGAACCATAAGACAAATGATTCCAATGCACAATTAAATGAAGTGGAACAATTCCATCCATTCACAGTTACAGTTCTGTTTAGCTAGTGCAGATCTTAATCACTAAAGTATAGATCTTAAACTCCTACTTAATCCAGCTGCCTGAAACTTGAGTTTTAAGCAAACATAAAGGTTTTACCAATTCATGTGCAATTGTTTAGACTCGTATCTGTTTGAGAATTTGAAGAAGGAAAGTTAAATTAAACTCATTTTATTTCCTGGCTACATGAGGTGATAAAAAATTATGACTTAGAATTACAACCACTTTAACAGAGAGCAGTCTGGGTTGTTTAGCTACATACATAGGAATGCATTGAAATTAAGGTTAAAATAATCAAACAAGTAGCCAAATGAGAATGAGGAGTTTACAGCATAATTTGAAAGCAGCTTCCTTTTGTATTTCTTAGCACTCTTAGCTTTTGACACAGACATCTATTCTAGCACCAAACATAATACTTCTCAGAAAATATTTTGAAAAATTGCCAGAACAGGCAAACTACCTTAAAAGAACCATTTAACATCTTGACAGATTTTTGTTGTTGTTTTTAAATCAATGCTGTTACTCAACTTCCAGGCATTACTGAACGAAGCTGACAGCGTCATCTTTCATTAAGCTTACACAATAAGCTGTGTGTGCGCGCGTGCTTTGTGTTGTCTAGCGGCACCTATGGTGTCAAGGTGGACTGGAAGGTGTTATGAAAAAATACCTAGGGCATTTATGCCAAACAGTATCCCTAAATTCTACACACTCAAGGGGCTGTCACAGGCTCTGACCACCTTTGAATTCTTCTAAGGAACTGAACGCAGGACCAGGAACCAGAACTACCCTTTTGATTCTCAGGTGCACATGCTTTAGCTGCACATATACATCATTTCACATTTCAGCAACTTTTTAAAAATGTGAAATGTTATTGCACAACCCAGTATTCTTCAGTATTACGACAGCACTGTATGCCAAAGAAAAACTCCTTTAAACTACAGATTTTGTATTCAGCAAATAAATCCTATTCCATAACAGGCAGCATACAAAATAACATACAAACATAACATACACAATAACAGTTCAAATGAGTAAAGGAAAACATTTCACTTAAACTGTCCTAAAAAAATACACAAAATGGGAAGCTATGTGAAGCTTCCAAGCAGAAAACAAGGAACTTGGCTTTCTATGCTCTTCAGAGGGCAGAACTCTCGCAACATACACTCACATTCCAATGGAGCACTTGAGCACAAGACTCTTGAATTGTTTCCAATAATTCCTACAACATATTTTTAATTACATCTTTCCTACTGCATGCCTACAAATTAGCCTTTCTAATAGTACCGGTGTAGCTAATTGACTAAAATTACAATTTGAAGGTGCTAGTCAGAATGGTAATAATGCAGGCTGCACTTTGAAATAAGTCCAGAACCGACAGCATTCCTCATTCTTGAGGGAGTATTTAGCAGTTTGCTGGGATCTTACAGACTGCAATATTCTTTCAAAAGCAGTAGTGAAATAAGCTTGAAGTATTTTTTTCAGAGATTTTTTCAATGCAGTTCTTATTTGTCCACCAGGCTTATATTTCCAAGTGTCAATACCGAACAGTGAATGAGTCAGTTTCCTATTGTTATAGGCCAAGATTTAGAGATAATCCTTATGTGACAGTATACCTGTAAAAAGCACACATAATTTGAACTTTTAACTAAAAACAAAGAAGCAAACCCCAAATATACCAAACAATTTGTTTTTATTTGCTAATAAGTGATATTCGGTAGACAATAGAGTTCGAGGGCAAAATTAATGCAGATATAGAAATCATCTACACCTGCACACAACTCTCTTTACAGAGAGATAACTAAAGCAGTACAAAGAAGGTGGGGCAGATCCAACACAAACTTTTGAATCCCCTACATGAAAAAAAGCATATAAGCGAAACCATCGGATGAGGAATGACTGTAAAAACAGGTCTGTAAGGCTACTAATAAGTAACTGCGAGAATTAAGAGGCATCCATGAGAGAGGAAAAAGGAGGGCTCACAGACACAAAAAGAAATCAAATACCGTGCAGAAGCTCAAACTGAAATAAAACCGAAGACACAGAGCAGAGGTGTGAAGGCAGCCATTGATGCTGAAACTCAAATCATTTTTTTTAAAGCCTCTGCAATCTCAGGCAAATACACACGCATCAAACACTAAAACCCCACTGGCGTTATCGCCAAAATGATTCTGCAAGCGCTCCAGGTATAGTTTCTTTTGGTCTCCTACCAATGGTTCAATGTCGGAAAAAAAAAAAAAAAAAAAGTAAATAGCCTCCCTGGGGGAGAGAAAGAGAAAACCATTCCGAAAGTAACCTAGGACCTATTTTTACTCTCTTTGCGCTTGGGCAGCGGGGCAGAGCGAGGAAAGCCGAGCCGAAGGCAGCAGCCGGGCTCGAAGGGGCCGGAGAGCCGGCCGTGAGGGAGGCCAAGCCCTCCCAGGCCGCCCGTGGGGCTGCCGGGCGGCCCCCCTGCCGCCGGGGAGGGAGAGGAGCGGGCGGGAAGGGCCGGCCGCGGCCCCGACTCACCAGCTGCGCGATGGCGGCGCCGCCTCTTCCCCCTCCGCCATAGCTGTTGACGTGCCCGCCGCGGCCGGCCGTAAAGCGCGGCCGGGCTTCTCCGACACCCTCCCCTGCCGCCGTACAGACTGTCGCGAAGACGAGGGCGCCGGCCGTAAAGCGCGGGAGCCTGGCAAAGAGGGCGTCGGCGGTTCACGGTATCTTCCTCTAAAAAACCCCAGGACTTTATTTCCCTTTATTTTCCAAGCAGGGAAGGTTTTCGGTGAAGACAGCTCGCAATGAGCAGCTCGCTGGTCCCCTTTCTCAGAAGCATGTTTGTTGCTCGGGAAAGGTTACATGGGAAAAAAAAATCCGTTCAGGAAAGGCATTTTGCAGTGTTAAACAACAAACAAACTAAAAACGTACTACGGAGAGAGTACTCTCTGGGATGTTTTCCTCCTTTCCCCATTTCATGGATATTAAAAAGAAAAAGTGTTTTTTTTTTTTAAATCTACCTATCCTTCAAGGGAAAAGTACACTTCGTGCAATGCACTTGAGGCATTAACAACGGCAAATAACATCACACCCCCATCCGCGGCACCACCCAGCATAGACACACACGTGCAACTTGTGGAAGAGGCAGGAAAAGAAAAATAAATAAATGAAAGAGAAGGAGCCACATAAACAAACACACTCCTCCCCTTCCCAACCCTCCTCCGGCCCCTCCGCTCCCCGCGGCGG